ATTTGAAGGCTGAAGAGATTGTGCTGCCTGAGAAGTTTGTTGCATGAGTGATGATCGAAAAATTTCCAGATTCGTTGAGTGAGTACAAGAACTACCTGAAGCACAACCAGAAGATCTTCACAATTGAGGAGTTGGTGACGCATATCCTGATCAAAGATACTAATAGGAAGGAGTCAAAGACGGCCAAAGCCAAGGAGATGATGCTCAAAGCAAACTTGGTGCAAAGCAACAACAAGAGGTGCAATAACAAGTCAAAAAATTACAAGCCTAATAATCCTAGTTTTAAGAAGAAAGGCAATTGTTTTGTTTGTGGAAAGCCAAATCATCATGCTGCTGAGTGTAGGTAGAGAAAGAGGAATAACGATGCCAAAGTGAATCCTCCTAAGGCTACTATAGTCGAAGGAGATGAAATAATTGCTGGCGTTACTTCTCAAGTGAACATTGCTGCTAATGTCAAAGAGTGGGTTGTAGACTCTGGGGCTACTCAGCACATTTGAGCAAATCGAGAACATTTTTCTCCTATATTTCTGTAGGAGATGATGAAGAAGTTGTCTACATGGGAGACTCACGGCCTGCAAAGGTTTTTGGTAAAGGGAAGGTTGTCCTGAAGCTCAATTCAGGAAAAACTTTAGCCCTTAACAATGTGCTGCATGTTCCAAACATTAGAGCAAATTTGGTTTCTGTTCCCTTAGTGGGAAAAGGTGGGATAAAAGTGTCATTTGAATATGAAAATATTGTCATGACCAAGAATAATATGTTCGTGGGAAAAGACTATTGTAACCAAGGGCTCTTTGTGCTCAACATTTTCAATATGATCAATGAAAATGCATCTGATTCTTTAAACTCTAATAAGAATAAATTTAAGTAGTGACTTAACCTCGAAGTAACCTAACCTTAAACACAATAATTTTTGGGTTTAATTCGATCTCTTCATCATACAACTTCAACTATGAAACAAAAATGAGAACAAATATTGGGTAAACTATTGTATGTGACCCAATTCTGGTTTCACACCATGAATTATCTGGGATTTAAGATGATTGGTCATTCATTCCCGACTATACATTCATACATTTGTAGTCAGAGCCACTTGTAGCTAGTTAGGAGATTTTAAAGATCCAAAAAAAAAAAAAATTACAAAAAAGCAAGAAGCCGCGGCTATCTAGAAAAAATCAAGGCCAACAAAAAATTGAAACCAAAAGTATTTGGAAAAGGAACTGCCTACGTCAAACATTTGCAAAATCATTGTGCTGCCATGATGAAAAGGGCGAAGGAACTTTTCATCTTTTGTGATGCAGAAGTCATCTTAATTTGATGTTTTTTCACCCAAAAGGAAGGCTCCTTCATTGGGTCATCCAATTCTTGATGATTAACAAGGTAATCGATCAAGTGGGATTCAATGGACCAAAAGAAAATCTTGAGACAATGACCTACACTCAGGAAAACATGACTCAACTTTTAGAATTAGATATGCAAACACTAGTTGAGATCACTTTGCTTTTGGGGTCGACCGGTCCTAGTTAAAGGTAATTAAGGATTTTAGCTAATAGAAGATTATTTTTAAGAAAGTTGAACAAAATGCTATGATCACATTATTTTACCAATAAGAGGTGAACATTAGTGACTGTCAATGATAATTATCTAGTTAGTTGTGATATTACGTAGTTAGAATTATTTTGTATTTGGTATTATCTTATGTGATGTTTTAGTTATAAGTTTTTCTATATAAGTCATGTAATAACCTAGTTGATAATTGTTGCCATTCCATTTTCTAAGTTGGTATCGAGCCAGATTACAAAAACTTAATTTTTTTCTTCTCCTTTTCTTCTTTAGGTTGTCGGCCTCCTCTTTCCTTCAATCACCGCCGCCGATCCTCCTTTCTTTCTTTTCCTCAGCCGCACCTTCTCCCTTCTTCTCGGTGCCGCCGCATCTTCTCTCCTTTCATCTTGGCCAACTTTCAATCAATCCCCCAAAATTCCAAGACGAAAAAAAAACAAAAAAACCTAATTCTTTCTTCCTTCCTCTCATCGGTCTGCCATCCTTTTCTTTCCCGCCCGCCGTCGCTGCCGATCTTCTCTACCGTCCCTTTTCCTCTCTTTTCTCCCTTTCCTTTCCGCTTTGCTGCCTCTGCCGCGCGTAGCTGTTGATTCACCCGGCCCTCTCCGAATCCTTAATTAATTCATCTCTCTTCATGGCCATTCCCTTCTCCAGTGGCTAGTTTCTGTTTCTCTTTTATCTTTGTTCGGCAGTAAAAAATCCCCCCCAACCCCCTATCCCACACAAAAAAGAAAGAGAGAAAGAAAACGAAAAAAAAAAAAAACATAAAATCCTATTCCTTGTGAGATGTTCACCCCTGTGCGTGATTTCCTGCTGCTAGCCACCAGGAAATCCCCATCCATCATCACCTCATCATCAAGACATCAACCGTCACCCCTGCAGCCATGATCCATCATCATCATCATCATTCAGTTTTCAAGTTTGCAATTATAGTCCTTTTACTTTATAAAATTTCCATGTCAATCCCCATAATTTGTTTTCTTTTGTCAAAATAGTCTTATCTCTTCCGATTTTGACAAATAAGTCCTAGTAATTTAGAATTTGCGAATAGTCCTATCTTTTCTTTTGCTAGCACTTAATAAACCACAAAACTACAACACACAACCCCCTACAAAATTCTCTTCGACCATAGCGAAAGCAAGCACATCTTTACTTTTTTTTTCTTTTTCGCACCGTCTATTCTTCTATTAGACGTTGATGCGTTCATTCAGGCATACAATATTGCTTCTTCTCTCATTCAACTCATTCTCAGGTTGTGCTGCATTATTGCAGCGTCGCCATCAGTCATTTTTCGGTTAGTGCTGCATTTTTGCTGCGCCGACAGTTATCCTCTGGGTCGAGCTGCATTCTTGCGCCCCCCATCAGTCATCTTTCGACCAGTGCTACATTATTGGGCCGCCATTAGTCTTCTTATTACTCCTCCTGTTCGCTTGTTGCTGCTGCATCGTGGTTCATCCCGATTCTCCTCCTATTCGCTTGTTGCTGCTGCATCAGTGGTTCATCCCAATTATAGGGCAAACTGGGACTACTACTTTCTCTGTCATCAGTTTGAGGGGGCGTGTCAATGATAATGATAATTATCTCAGTTGTGATATTATGTAGTTAGGATTATCTTGTATTTGGTATTATCTGATGTGGTATTATAGTTATAAGTTTTTCTATATAAGTTATGCAATAGCCTAGTTGATAATTGCTCAATTGAAGCCATTCCATTCTCTTAAGTGTGACTTTCGCATTATTTTTCCCATTGGCCCCCATACACACACACACACGCCTATAGAGAGTATCAACGAAAGCAAGGAAAGAAAAAAAAAAAAAAACACTTTGGAATTCTGATCGACAAGGAAACATGGAGTCAAAATCACAATGTTCATTAGAAATGCAGGATTTGTGGAGGGAGATGGCATATTAGTGGCCATTATGTCCTTCAAGAACTGTCGAAAATAATACGCAAACCCAACTGATTGAGGATGGAAGCATGGTTTATTGGTGTTCTACATGAAAATGTTAATATTGGGGAAAACTGACAATTCTTATATAGCGTAAAATTTTGATTGCATGAATATCATATGACGAAGGTTTGAATCGTTTCACAATGAACATGTAAGCGATTCTAGTTCACTAGATATAGCGATTTTAGTTCACAAACTAGAACAATTGTGAGTGGCAAGTAAGCCTTCCGAACCCATAATTACTATTTTCTCGTTTAAAAAAAATAATTAACATTGAGTTTTGTTTTAATTATAAGACACAAATTTAAACTAATTTTAATATTAATTTGTGATTTTTAATTAAGATGGAGGGAGTTCAACGTTACTTTTGATACTTATAGCTAGCTAGCTATCTCTTTTCATTAAAACCGTTTAATTTCATACCTGTTCTCTAGCTAGCTCTTTTGATGCTTATAGCTAGCTAGCTATCTCTTTTCATACCTGTTCTCTAGCTAGCTGCAGCAGGTGGCCTCATTCGTAATGACAAAGGGCGATTTTTGTCAGGCTTTAACTCACACCTAAGTCGATGCTCTATTGAAACAGCAAAGTTATCGGCTATTCGCTTGGGCCTAGAACTTGCTAGAGAACAGGGACATAGAAAAGTCCTCGTCAAATTGGATTCCGTGATTGCAGTCCAGTTAGTCTCGCAAATACAACGAAATCTTATGCTAGATCATGACCTCATGAAAATCCAGCAACTCTTATCAGAAAATTGGGAGGTTCGTATTTTACACACTCCTAGAGTTAAAAATGAATGCGCTGATTGCTTAGCAAAAGAGGCGCGTAGTCTAGCTAGGGGTGTATATTTTTTTTATGTAACCCCGTCATGTGTCTCCCTACTTGTGGAGAATGAATCTGTAAGAACTCAAGATACGCACTAAGAGATATAACTTAGTGTACTTTTCGTTAACCAAAAAAAAAAAAAAAAAACGTTTAATTTCCTATATCTTTCCATCAGAGAACAGGGAAGAATGTGTTGGTCAATCATGATGTAAAATTGTTATGGACCCGAACTTCAAAGGTCCAACAATATTTAGCTCCCCTAATAAAATGTTCTCTCCGTTTTCAATCATTCATGTTTTAGATATAAGATTCAGATTCTTTCATATATCAAACTTCTTGTCTCTAATATATAGCTTTGGTTCAAGATTTTTAAGAATTTATTTGGTAAAGTAATTAGTTCGTTTGGTAAAATTTATTTGCTTCTCTACTTTTCTTTTTCTTTGGATTCTCTGCCTCATTTTCTAAGTATTTATTGAGTTCTGAATTTGCCTTCAAGCTTTCTCTCAATTTCTCAGTTGAATAACTGCTTGCAAGGCTTAAAAAAAATAAAATAACGAAGGGAAAATATTAATGTCCATGAGTATTCTTACAATGACTATATTGGAACAAAAGAAAAATATACTACTATATTAAACAAGAATATTTTTTTTAAAAAAAAATTATATCGATGAAGAACAATTTATTTAATATTCCAGAATGGAAATTTATGATACACCACGACCCATGTCGTCTGAATCAACAATAGGACATCATTTGATGACCAAACTTGTTAAGTTTCTATTAGAATCACCCGTAGCATTTATTTATCACAACTCATAATTTCTACTACTTCCGTCCTAAAAAAAAGTCCATATTAAATTTTCAAATTTGTATAAAACAGTACAAAATTCAAAACTCAATGTGGACAATTTTTATGGGATAGATGGAATAGCATTTAATTGGAAATTTGATGGTGATGAACGTCATAATTGGATTCAACAAGCTACAAATTGATAGCTGACCATCAAGTGACCTTGAGCGTAGCCACGTCGATCGGTATCAATTCGGTTGAAAACACCCGAATCCAAATCCAACCCTCCGTTGCTGCATTGATCAACGATTCTCACTGTGGCTTGAGCCCCGGTAGCCATGTTAGTCACCTACATACAGTTATAACAAAAAAAGTATCGTTTCACTAATAAGACACGATATAAATGTATATATAAAAGTTAAAATTAAAATTCTCGTTGCGTTGATTAAACTTACCCTTAAGCACCTCCCGCACGCGGCCTGGCCTCGTGGTCCGACCGGTCCACAAAAGGCAGTCCATCCATATTTCTGCCTCCATGCAAGGGGTTTGTTAGCATCCCATGTTGAGCAATATGCACTAACAGCATTCAGATCCCATCCATTTTGTGCTGGATTGTAGAAATGATATGTAGCCCTCACATTTGATGCGGTTTGTGCATTTGCAATGCTCAAAATGCATAGCATTATTGCAACACGAAGGCTAGATTTCAATGCCCTTTCCATACCGTAACCCATTGACGTATACAAGCTATTAAAACAAATAAAATATTTCAATTAAGTAGTGATATGATAGGGAAAAACTGAGGATTCTTTATATAGGGAAAAGTTTTCCAATTCCAGTGCCCAATTTTCGAAATTGCTTCAAGATATTGTATTTTAATCTATGAGTGGAATTAATCTAGATTTTTCAAAAATGAATCATTATTGTGATAAGAAAGAAAGAAACTATGACAAAGTCATAGTCAAATATGTGTGCTTGATAAAGTCGTTTCCTATAATTGGATACTACTTATGTTCTTTCAAACATTTTGTGCCGGCTAGCTGATGCATTAATAGCTGCTTCGCGCAGTTGGAACAATTTTTTACTGAGTTCATTAGCTCAACTGGAATTAATTCTACCATCCATATAGAGTTATAGTTGATTAAAACACGCGATGGTGCGGGAAACGATAATATTGATGAAGTTAATTATGATAAATAATGATTCCATTCTGTTGTGTTGCATAAGTCTTCAGTGGGTAACTTATCAAAAAAAAAAAAAAGTCTTCAGTGGGTAGAAGTGACAAGATGAGACGAATTATTTTTTTAATATATTACGCACTTTGTGTTTAAAATTATTGTTCCGACTAATCGCAATTCGAGTTGGAACGTATTTCATGAGACAAATCTTCTCCAACAACTATTTTAATTACTGGTGCATGCTAATACCCGGCTTTGGTCCGAGTCATAGCTAGTTCAACTCGCTTAATACCTTTATTACTTGGAGTAAATGCTCGTTGATAAATGAGAATAATAATGGAGATAAGTATGCACTAATCCGACATACTCTATCATCACTAAGATTAGTTTCTGTTTGAGAAATTTATCAGTTAGACTTTTGTAGATTTTATTTATTATTATTATTATTATTATTATTGATATCTTTGCTTCCATACAATAAATAAATGTACTTTCACATTTATTCTGTTCTTTCAATTGTCATAAAATATTTTTCAAATTTTTATTTTCAATTTGAAGAAATACTAACTAAATTTTATGAGAATCAAAATGCCTTATAATATAGACCGAAGGAAGTAATAGATTAAATGGTCCGAAAAAAAAAATCAAATAGTCAGTAATTTTTTAAAATTTAAAAGTCGTTATTTAGAAAAATGCATTTTATTTTTTCGTTGTCTTAGGATTTATATCAAAAAACAAAATGCCATGACAAATACACATAATTCACAATCTCTTGTACAGCAATCAGTGTCAGTTAATTCATCTTTGGTTTTTGCTTGAATCTATCATAAGATCACATTAGCAAGGATTGTGAATCCCACATTGGAGGCATGAGGACATGTGAATCAGTTAATAAGTAAGGTAGATTCAGAACCCAATAGCTTGAGCTTTTGAGTTCAGATGGGTCTTATTTTACTTATTGGACTCCATGTTGGGTTTTTACTTCCGGATAAATCCCCAACAGTAGTATCAGAGTCTAGGTTGGGCTAGTTGGGTGGGTGATTTTAGCCCAAATTATCTCGGTTGATCTAACTGAATCCAAGCAGTCAAAGGCCCACTACGAACGGAAACGTAGGGATGGACGGCCCAGTTACTCAGGTGGAGTACAAATTTGGGCTTGTTAAGATAATTTGGAAGCGTGATGTGGAGATTGCTCATAACGGGGGAGAATGTTGAGAGTCATGTGGCAAGGATTGTGAATCCCATATCGGAGGCATGAGAACATGTGAATCAGTTAATAAGTAAGGAGGACTCAGAACCCAATAGCTTAAACTTTTGAGTTCAGATGGGTCTTATTTTACTTATTGGCTCCATGTCGGGTTTTCTCTTTTGGATAAATCTCCAACACAGAGAACATTGAAAGTAAAGATTTCTTTTTATACCACCGAAGAAAAACTAATTAATAAGTCAAGTAAAAGAGCTTTCTGAATCAAAGTTGAAATTTTTTGCATTGTTGTCTACATTCGGTTGCCTATTGACTTGTTGAAAGTTAATTCAACCATTCGACCGGAATGGCAAGTGTAGGAGGAGTGGCGAGAGATTGTCATGGCCTTTGGTTGAGAGGGTTTATCATGAATATCGATTTTTGTTCGATCACAGAGGCGGATGTGAGGACTGTTCCATGCGCTTAGTCTTGCTTGGAAGAGTGTTATAAAAAAGTGATTGCGGAAGTTAATAGCCGAAGTATCCTTAGGATGGTGACCGGAAATGAAACGGTGTTGGATGTTCATACAAGTCTCGTTGGTGTGATTCACCAACTATTATGTAGAGAATGAGAGGTCAAGTTACGTCATGAGTTCCGAGAAGTAAATTGTGTAACATAGTGTTTGGCATGTTTGGCAGCAACAACATCCGGTGAAGTACAATGGCTTGGTAGTCCACCCGTTAGCATTCGACCATGGCCTGATTATTATATAATTGGAGTGACATATCCCGGAATGTAACAAGTTAGCTACAAGGGTGAGCTTTTTTCATGTACCAAAAAAAAATTTGATAATGTCCATTCAACATTTTGACCATATATGTACAATTCGGAGAAAGAATCACTTAGCTGCTTACATTATTTCCTTCTTTTTCTTTTTCTTTTATAATTTTTGTCGCTTATAAATTTTTTATCTTTGTCAGAAACTCTAACACCATAAGAACAATCATTAACTCATTTATTTCGACCGCTGCCGCTAAAATTTACCAATTGAAATAATTAAATATATTTCATTGTACGCTAGTTTTTTTCATATGATTTAGCGTTCATTCATCAAGACTCTTTCCTTCGAAACTAAATAAATCTTTAATTAATTTAGTATATATATACTAAAATATCAAATCTTATACAAAAACTGAGTTGCATTAATTTGTCAATTTTGATTGGTGGTTGTGGCATTGAAAGTGGTAGAAACATATTGGTTTCTTATGCGGTAGATATTACAAACATAGGCAAAAATTTATATATAGTATGTAACAGTTGGAAAAGACATGAAAGCAGATCAAGAGAAAATGGAAAAAAAAAAATACATAAGTTTATAAGATTGAATTTGTAACCATGCACAAAGACTGATCATGTGTCGCAAGATGATAAGCGCAAATGATTTCGTGTGTTCCGACTCAAATGTCTCCAGAATTAATATTGATAAGTGATAACCAACACATTAGAGTGGTTTTCACTTAAAACATGTCAAGAGAATAAACCACGAATGACTGATTTATTTATTTATTTATGAAAGGGCTTTTTCATACTTCTCAACAAACGCATGTTTCATCAGATCTCTTGTTGGTGGTATAAGTTGATGAAACTGGAGTTTGGAGCTTAAGCAACCATATATTTTGCTGGAAACGATGGCAATTTCGTTGAGCGTCGATGACTCTCAAGGCGGCACCCGTGGAGAGATCAAGCGCTTTGCCCAGAGATGCTTTTTTTTGGACAAACTCAAAGGCAATCCGTGCCGAGAAAATGTAAGTATATTTTGACGAAAAGGAGAATTGGAATACGCACTTGGAGGTTCGCCAAAAGACTTGATTGCCCGTTACGAGGACATCATGCCAGAAGACCATACCGTGATATTAAACCTCAGAATGTTCTTGTGTTCCCCACAACAAATGGGCAACATTGTTTTATTTATTAATAAATGGTACTCCCTCTGTTCCAAAATTATGGTCCACTTTGAGATTTTATTTTTAGTATAATTTGAACAAGAAATGAAAACTCAAACTGGACAATAATTATGGGACGGAGGGAGTATTAGATTAGTTTATTTTCTAGCCATTACTATTTTATATATGTTGCCTAATCAATAAATTAGGTATTATTTTAATATTTTTACAAATAAGTTATCCCCGAAAAAAAAAATATCATTAATCATGGTTCCAAATGTACTCTATTTTTTCTCTTTTTTCATTGTTTTTTTTTTTGAAAAGGGTTCCATAAGTATTTGACCATTAAAACGTCAGATAATCACTTTCCAAAAAATATACTGCCTTCAACTAAATAAAACTCAATCTTGTAATAATAGCAATCTAATGTATTAATTCCAAACCATCCTACGCAGCCAAGGCTTTCAATATTAAAAAAATTTTAAGAAAAATGACAAATGAACAAACAAAACAGTTAAACGTAAATGAAAAAAAAATAATAATAAACGGCAGGAGGATTAATCATACACGAATAATGACAATAGAAAAATGACAAACTAAGAAATGAAAGAGTTTAACATACGCCAAAAATAAGAAATAAAAACTGACAAACTAAAAAATGATGGGTTAAACCCATGCCAAAAATAATAATAACAACAAAGCATAAAACCTAGCAAATGAAAGGTTTGAAAAGTAACAAATTAACAAATGAGACGTTAAACATGGAGAAAAGAATTATTAAGAAAATGACAAAGTAACAATTGAGACTGTGAACATGCACACGAAAAATAATGTTTAGAAAAGTTGCAAACGTAACTAACCGATGAAAGGTTTAAAGATACACGTATAATATAATTAAAAAAGACAAACTAACAAACGGAAGGGTTAAACATACACGTATGAAGAGAAAAATACATTCACTAACAAATGAAAGGGTTAAAAGTACAGAAAAAAAATTTTAAAAATGACAAACTAACAGATGAAAGCCCCCCCCCCCCTCCCCCACAAAAAAAAAAAATCGAACAAAGAAATGCTGACAAGAGCGACGCCACAAAGCACAATTAAAGATAAATTACAAATGCACGGCATGAAAGTTTTACAACAAAGAAAATGATTTTTTTTTCACATTATATAGACTAATTAAGTAAGTCGTAGACACTTGGATTAATAAAACAGTTAGATTAAATAAGAATCTCAGTTTACCGTTTTACGTGTTCCTGCACTAGTCACTTGATTAATTTTCCCCTTTGTTAATTAGGAAGTGTGGAAAATTTTCTCATCAAAATATACACCTCTAATTCCAAATTACACCTCTCAAGTTTAGTTTAGTTCTTATAAACAGGTGACTTCTCAATTTTATTCTAATTGATAATGAGTGGGGTGATCTTTGACACTTGTAAATAGGTGACAGATCATTAACGACACCGATGTGGGATTCTTTATCCCGAATGAAGGACGAGTGCATGATCCATCATCAATTAGTAAAAACGAAATGCAGATCTTTGAGGTTGTTAATTGAAGCAGTGATATCGGTAGGCATGCCTTATTTTGTTCAGAAGAGGGTTTTTTCCCCATTAGTTTCAGACTCAAAATGCACATTTTTATTGTTGGGCTGTAATAGCCTATAAAATACTATTTAATTTGTACCTTGACTAGGTGTTTTTTAACATTCTAGAAATATTGTGGGTTCAATTTGTGGAACGAAATACGTATAGAACAAGTTAGTTTTATCGATCAATGGCTTGACCATTTGAAATATGAAATTGAAAGGTTGTCTTCGTTTATTGAGTATTGAAACACTGACAAGAACGACGCTACAAAGCACAATTAAACACAAAGTAAAGTACATATTAAAGCTATATATGAAAACTCATAGAGTAATCTCACTTGGCGAGAATATATAAAGAAACCAGAAAATCATTTTGCGTATTCGAGAGTAAATCACATATTTTGATATAAGGAATTTCGCTTCTTGCTCTTAGCTACGGGATTTACATAAATAGTACCAATTTTTACTTGATTGATATTTTTCTTTAATTTTCCCCTTTGCTAGGAAGTGAAGAAATTTTCTCTCATAATAGTAAAATCAATATGTAAACAAAAGGAATTGCAGGTTATTGAGTTTAATAATTTGCCTGAAGCTGATATTTATAAGCATTGTTTATTTCATTTTGTCAAAAAGGGGGTTTTCTTTTTCCAATTAGTGTCTGAAGCCAAATGCACATTTACTTGCTGAAGCTGGGATATGATAGACTAGAGACTACCTTGCCTTCGTGGGTCATTTAACATTCTAGAATGAGGTTCAAGTAGTGGAACGCAATACGTAACTTTATATAGAACAGGATCAATGACTTGATTTATATTTATATTCCTTTAACTCTTTAAGGGAGGCTGTATCCAGTATATCTTGGGGCACCGTGCCCCCTCCTATTTTTTGCATGAGTAGTCCTTATTGTACCTTTTTTATCAATCTTTCTATGATTTGCAAGGATAGTCCCTGTGACTTTTTTCCTTCTCTTCCAAAAACAACAGCTCTAATCTTTCAACGAGCATATCTCCCAATCCGTGAAGAATTTGTGAACGAATTATACATGAAATTTATAGTACTCGTCGTGATCTATCCAATGAAATCCATTTTGAATATTTTTTTTGAGTTCAAAAATGACTAAATTTTGATGGACAGAATTAAGTTGGATATCCAGTAAGTTGGATAATCAGTATGCGCGAGTTGGATAATCAGTATGAACAAAGTGGATAACTAGTTCAAACAATTTGGATAACCATGTAAATCCATTGGATAACCAGCATTAGCGCATTGGATAATCCAGTACAAACCAATGATTGGATAACCAATACAAACGAGTTGGATAACCAACTTAGTTTATTATTTTTTAAAAAAATAATAAAAACAAAAAAACCAGGTTGGATAAATAATACTGATTAGTTGGATAAACAGTATTAACATAAATAATCAAGATGGATAACCAACTTATTTTTTTTGAACTTTAAATGCATTTAAACTTTACGGGCAGAAAATGAAGAAATGTGTTTTTCGTTTTTCTTTGAGAAATGGTTATCCAATCCGTTTGGATATCCATTCTGTTCGTACTTGTTATCCAATCATATGTTTAATATTCACTCTTCAAAAAAAAAAAAAGATGGATATCCACCTCTATTCTATTCTGCCCGTCAGAATTAAGTCATTTTTAAGTCCGAAAAAATGTTCACTGTGAATTTCATTGGGTAGATCTCGACGAGTACTATAAATTTCATATATAATTTGTTCACAAATTCTTCACGGATTGGGAAATATGCTCGTTGAAAGATTAGAGTTGGATATGCATGCAAACCAAATGCATGGATATCCAGTACAAATAAGTTGGATAATCAACATAAACACAGTGGATAACCAGTTTGAGAAGATGGATAACCAACTTATTTTACATTCATATTGTTGTGTTCCTTGTATCTTTTGATCCGTAAAAATTATAACACGAATTATAAATGAAATTTATAGTGCTCGACGAGATCTATCCGATAAGATCCATGTTGAATATTTTTTTGAACTTTAAATGCATTTAAACTTTACGGGCAGAAAATGAAGAAATGTGTTTTTCGTTTTTCTTTGAAAAATGGTTATCCGTTGTGTTCATGCTGATTATCCAACCGGTTTGGAGTGATTATCCATTCGGTTCGTACTTGTTATCCAATCATATGTTTGACATTCGCTCTTCAAAAAAAAAAAAAAAAGAAAATGGATAACCACCTCTATTATGCCCGTCAGAATTAAGTCATTTTTTAAGCCCGAAAAAATGTTCAATGTGGATTTCGTTGGATAGATCTTGACGAGTACTATAAATTTCATGTATAATTCGTTCACAAATTCTTCACGGATTGGGAGATATGGTCGTTGAAATATTAGAGTTGGATATGCATACAAACCAAATAGATGGATATCCAATACAAACAAGTTGGATAATCAGAATGAACACAGTTGATAACCAGTACAAATAATTTGGATAAACATGTAAGTCCATTGGATAACCAGTATTAGTGCATTGGATAATCAATATGAACATATTGGATATCCAGTTTAAGAAGATGGATAACCAACTTATTTTGAATTAAGAAGTTGGATAACCAAATAGATAAGCAGTAGAAACAAAATGGATAACCAGTTTAAACCGATTGGATAATCAGCATGAACTTGATGGATAACCAATTTAGAACAAGTTGGTTATCCATCTTGTAAAACTGGATATCCACCCCTATTCTGTCCATCAGAATTAAGTCATTTTTAAGCCCGAAAAAATATTCACTATGGATTTTGTTGGATAGATCTCGACGAGTACTATAAATTTCATATATAATTCGTTCACAAATTCTTCACGGATTGGGAGATATGGTCGTTTAAAGATTAGGGATATTTTTTTTTGGAAGAGAGAGAAAAAAATTCACAGGGGCTAAACGTGTAAAATATAGAAAGATTGAGAAAAAAGTACAATAAGGACTAAAAATGTAAAAAATAGGAGGGGGCACGGTGCCCCCGGGTATACTGGATAATTTGCCCTTTAAGGAATGTGCCAATGTGGACTACTTCGTATTAACCTCTTAATTGACAAATAAACAAACAGTTGCATATTTAAAAACAATAATAAAAAAGGGTGATGATACATGCGCGGAAAATTTATAGAGAATTTGAACAGAGAATAATGTAGCTGAATGGATAAACCCTAAAAAGGTAAATGTAAGACGGTTAGATTCTTTTCCTGTCCAAAATTTTCATACATAAATCACTATGCATAAAAAAAAAAAAAAAAATGCAACTATTCGAACCATTTGTTGTTATAATAAATGAATAATACAAAATTCGAACAATAATCTCGACGCGAAAGAAAGAGCAAACTATATCTTGGGGGATTGTGTGTGAATAATGTTGCACCGACTCGCACAATTTTTGAGAGCAGTACTCTCACTTCTCTTCATAGGTAAAATTTCTGGTATGTGTAGCACAATAAGTTTTTATTCTAGTTGAGTTGACTTAGTCCAAAAAGAAAGGTACAAGAATGACTTCATCGGCTGATTTTGACTCCAACTCTTTCTTTGGAATATTTCCTGTCAATCTTTCTTATCACAAGAAAAAAAAAGAAAAAAAAAGATTAATTATCTAGAAAACTTCAAAATTTGGGTGGTGGAATTGGAAAACTTTTCCCTTATAAATAGATACACATCAATACTGTCATTCCATCATTACCAAGTTCAAATTTTATAGCTAATAGATACATAGACATTTTTTACACTTACAATTAAACATGGCAAGGGTGGTGAAGCTAACACTTTGTCTTGCTACATTCTTTTGCATTTTGAGCTTTGCAAATGCCCAAAGCGCATCAAACGTGAGGGCTACATACAATTTCTACAATCCAGAACAAAATGGATGGGATCTGAATGCTGTTAGTGCTTATTGTTCAACATGGGATGCTAACCAACCCCTTGAATGGAGGCAGAAATATGGATGGACTGCCTTTTGTGGATCGGCTGGACCCCAAGGGCAAGACTCGTGTGGAAAGTGCTTACAGGTAACTTTAGTAAGGAGACGAGATCGTTTATAGATGAAATTATATGTATCGTGTTTTATTAGTGAAACGATTTATTTTTTTGTTTTTTAAATTTTTGTAGGTGACCAATATGGCAACCGGAGCTCAAGCTACCGTTAGGATTGTTGATCAATGTAGCAACGGAGGGTTGGACTTGGATGCTGGCGTTTTCAATAGCATTGATACCGATGGTAGTGGCTATGCTCAAGGTCACTTGATGGTTAACTATCAATTTGTAGCTTGTTGAAGCCTATCAATCCATTGTAAATCTTTTTAACGATTCTTACTCCTCGTCTTTAAAGAAATAGTTTACTTTGTTAAATTATTTGAATTCAATAACATAAATTATTTTTATGGGACAAAAAGGAGTTTAGGACTTAGTCAGTTCGCTCATCGATCAATTAGTGTGTTTGAACTGATTGAGCGAACAAGAATATGTAATATACTACTTTGCAATCAGGAATATCAAATAAATTCTTAATTAGCTATTACAACCTAAATAAAAAAAAAAAGTGAAAACATTTCTTGATTATATAGTTCATATATATAATTAACGTGTGCCAGTGATGCTACAGCATTTCTAGCCTACTTGAAAATACGCCATAAAACACCCCCTGAACGATAGTACATCTATAAAACACTGGATTAACCAGAAGGAATTTATCTTTGTTAGATTACCAATTCATTTTACGAAAACTAATCAAGTTGGTGAAGGGAAATCTACTTTTCCTTTCTGATTATTCTAAGGTGGCTCTCCCATTAGGTAAAATAGGTCATCGCCTAGGGCCCCGGAATCAGAAGGGCCTCGAATATATATATATATATATATATATATATATATATATATATAAATGTGTGTGTGTGTGTGTGTGTGTCTATTATAAAAAAACTTAAAGCTTATAAACATTGACCAATTGTAACCCAAAAAAAAAGACCACTCAACATTTATTGATTTACGTGTGTTTTATACTTCAGAATAATAGGAAAATAATTAAGTAAAATCAATAGTGTTTTTTTTGTGGTAATTTTGCCACAACAATTTCTAGCATCCAGTGCATATTTTTTCATTTTTTCCACATCTGCCCTCGTGAAGTCAACTTCTTTATTTTTCTCTCTCCCCCATCTCTCGCTCAATTAGTTCTTCCTTACTCTCTCTCTCATAACAACGTTATCAATTTCCCTCCAAAAAACTGATTATTTTCTTTTTATAGTTGATAGAGCTATCTCATCACTACAAAGTAGATTCGAAAATTTTAAAATGTACGAAAATATTTTTGATTTTCTATTTAATTTGAAAAAATTAAAATCACTTGATGACAAAAATTTAGAAAAAAGTTGTCTTAACCTTCAAAACTCGTTAACACACAATTATAGTTTAGATATTGACGGTTTGGATTTATTTTATGAACTAAAAATTTTAAGAGAAAATGTAAATATTGAGAATAATAATCCAATAGATATAATTAATGATATTAAAAAACTTAATTCTTTTCCAAATACTTATATTGCTTATAGGATAATATTAACTATTCCCGTAACAGTTGCTTCAACAGAAAGAAGTTTTTCAAAACTAAAAATAATAAAAAATTATTTAAGATCAACTATGTCACAAGATAGATTAAATGGATTGGCTATTATATCAATAGAAAATGACTTACTGGAAGAGATAGATCATGAAACTTTCATAAAAGAATTTGCAACCAAAAAAGTTAGAAAAATAAATTTAATATAAGCAATACTTTAAAAAATGCTGGAAGAGATAGATCATGAAACTTTCATAAAAGAATTTGCAACCAAAAAAGTTAGAAAAATAAATTTAATATAAGCAATACTTTAAAAAATACTAGAAAGAAAAACTTAATATGAATAATATTTAGAAAATACTTTTTTAACTCTGCCTGCTATAAGTTCACGGGTTTATAGTTGCCGGTCCCAAGCCTGAAAAAAGGACGAGGGTTAAAAGTTTTTTTCTTTTTTTTTTAGTTTTTTTATTATTAAAAGGCCCTAATTTTAAAACTCGCCTTAGGCCCCCAAAAACGCTGAGCCGCCACTGAATTATTCTCTGTGTTTTTCTAATCATCATTTTTTTTTGACATAAACTTACATTTACAAGGGTTACTAATTAGGTCAATGATTTTTACTTGGATATTAAAAATTTTGTTGAGTTCGTAAAAGTTTTTTTAGAAACATACCATTGACAGAGAGCACTACAACAAAAAGGAGATAATAGTACACTTTTTTGCGTCCTTAGAAGGTACATAATAGAACACTTAATCAATAGGACACATATAAAAAGTGTTCTCTATTCTCTAATCGCAATAACCCTATAAAACACTAAAAAGTGTCCTATTAAACTATTTCTAATGAGACACTTCATATATATCCTGTTAAGTTATGAGACACTTATGAAGATAGGACACTTTAATGTAACCTAATTAGTGTATTACTATTAGAACATTTAAAAGTGTCCCAACATACGTTGCTTTAAAAAAAAAAATAATAATAATAATTAAAAGCCTGCCACATGCAGTAAAAGTAAAAGTAACAAATTATATTGCCACAAATACTGAAAAAATTTTATGGAAAATGTATTATACGATCACATTAAGAAATTACAACACATAGACTGTTTTTGTCAAATACCGGCCTACCTAAATATCAATACCTAATAACTAAAAAGTACCCAACCACAAAATGGAAGTTCTTAGCAAGTCCTTCCAACTTTGTTCTCATCTTCCTCGACTGGGGAATGAAGCAATTCATCAAAGGAACGTCTTCTGAACGTGTTTGAACAAGCAAGTAGCATAACAAAAGCTGAAAGAAAGTAAGACGCATTACAGAAAGCAATCAGGTAAAGGTGTGGCCAGATTTTACCTCAATCTCATAAAATCAGCTACATAAAGTTCATATACTCTAAAAGCTTACTAAAAACGACAAAAGCACAATAATCAAGTGCATGTAATCATCATAGTAAAGGAACTCACGTGTATATGAAAATTGAAATTTACAGAACAGTCATGCTTTGTGAGTTTATTTTAACCAAAACCGAATACTTCACTGGCATCAGTATAGCCAAAAGCAAACGATCTTGAAGCGCTGTTTGCAAGAAGAATACTGAGTAAGGTCCAACTGATTGAAGCTGAAAAAAAGAAAAGAGAAAAAGGAGAGAGATATCACACACAGACACCAAAAAACTTTACCCAACTTTTTCAAACTCTATCATCAACAAGCAGCAACTACTAAGAAGGATGTTTAAAAGCAGGTGTTGCTGGCAACTTAAACATATCTTTGAGCTTCACACTTTTCTATGAGTCAATATCAAAATCCAATTATTGTCCAACATATCTAGTTACTTTTTTACATTACGCAATGTTCACAAAAACAGATATCCCATGACTGTCATTTAAGTGGCCATACTTACACATTCAGTTAAGAACATTTACATTCTTCATGTCATCTAAAGATATAACAGATGAAAAGTATGTAATGCACATTACCTTTGAGGTACCAGTTACAAACTGCAACAATCTTGCCATGTCTTCCTTATTGAAACCTTTCACAACATCCCAAAACCACTGAACAATAGCAGATCATTGTTTGCCTTCAAATCATCCACTGAAGGACAATAAACCTCATCAGAAGTCTTTTCCAACTTAAACAAATAAGTAAAAAAAAAGTTAAAATGGGAAGCATTTGTAAGGAAGCAGACTTACGATCGATTTCGGGAAGAACATTTATTAGCAACTCGAGCTTTTATCATTGAAAGTAGAAATAAGCTCCCTTGGGACACAACATGTATTCCAAGTAATCATTTGACACAGAATCCCAAGTACCTAATCAAACAAGGTCGCAGTCCTCTTAGAAGTCCAAACAATGTAAAGACGTAATTGCTTCAAGACACATTGCACTTATAAAGTATTTACACCGGCCTACCTCAACCTTCTGGAAGAAATTTCTTCTTCATCCATCTGCAATTATAAAATAAAATAAAAAAAGTAAAAATTAAATTACAATGGCGAGAGAGATCACAAGCAAGGGAGAACAGAACACATACATGACTTCTTCTCGTTGCAAAAGACATACAACTAGTGGACATATGACTCTGTAGGGCATTACTGTGAATTGTATATGCCAAAAATAACATAGAACTATACAAAACTAACAAAATACACCATGATATGTACTGACCTTTCGAGATCGTTGGTCCGGAACTCTAAAGCTGATAATGGTCTTCAAACCAGTTTTGGAGCTGCCTCCTAAAATTCCTAGCTTTGTTAATGGTACACTTCAGATAATATTTTGGATTTCAGCAAATAAAAAAAAGCAAAGGGAAAAAGAGAATATGACAATTATAGCAGCATAACAAAGATGGAACAACAGTCATCCAAACTAAAGTGACATGCAAAAGAAATGTAAAGAAAATTTATGGCAGCATAATAGCACTGTCATGTTCTGCAGCATTCCCCACAATTGTAAGTAAGATTACGCTAATAAATGCCATAGAGAGAGAGAGAGAGAGAGAGAGAGAGTTACAATTACAACTCAAATATAACACAAGATAGCATAAACTTCTGTCCATCAGTTATCACGATGCACACAGCAACACAAGATTGATATAGTGGAAACCAATAACATCAACTGTTACCAATGATATCAGGATTTTTCTCCCTTCTGAAACTATGTTCTGTTGGCTTAATGATGATAAATATGAATATCCAAAGTGTTCTCTTGACATTAATAGGTGGCGGTAGCTAATATGAGATAAGCAACAGAGTTCTAAACAGCCTTTGAAAGGAAAATGTTCATGAGTCATGCAAAGAGGTAATTGAGCATAGAAATCAAGTGATTCTTCAAGGGGATCTGTATACAAGGTTCATCTTGATTACTATATTGAAAATAGCTGTATCTAACACCTGCTTCTAAATCTATAAATGAATTACTAAATTTACAAAACATCTAGCCCTGCTACCATGGTTACTTCGTACATTTCTGTATCGCCAACTTTACAAAAGACAGAACAAGCTACCTCTTTTATAATCTTCCAAGTTTGGTTAATAGAAACTACTTCATACTTTCTACTACTGGGCTTTGTAGATAGAAACCAAACAACCAGGTGACAAGTTTACCTTTAATTTGTTTAGCAATAGTTTAAGAAAGCTAAGTGGCAAACTGCCTACCCTCCAACTTGATTCCTTCTATTTACAATTAATCAAACCATCATCAATCTCTTGTGTAAACATTACTGCATCCCCCTTTAATCAAATACAAATT